ATTTACACAATGGAGTATTGCTTAGCTGCCAAAAAAAATGATAACATAAAATTTGCAAGCAAATAGATGGAACTAGAAAAGATCATCCTGAGTGAAGTAAACCAGACCAGAAAGACAGACATGGCATGCACTCCTTACATGTGGATACTAGCTGTAAAGTAAAGGATATCCATGCGACAGACCCAGAGGGCTAAACAACAAGGAGGGCTCAAGAGGGGATGCATGGATCTCCCTGGGAAGGGGAAACAGAAAAGATATCAAGGGTGGGTGGGGCAGGTGGGGATGGGAACAGGAGGCATTAGGTCGGGGCTAGGGGATGGAGAGGAGAGTACTGGAAGAGATGATTTGAACTGGGGAGGCATTAGGAGACCAGTGTAGAACCTAGAGCAGTGGAAACTCCCTGGAATGTGTGAAGCTGACCCTAGTGAAGACTCCTAGGAATGGGGGATGTGGAGCCTAAACCAGCCATCTTCGGTAACCAGGCAAGGCTTCCGGTGGTGGGACTACCACCCACAAAACCTCCAACCTACAGCTTGTCCTGCTGGGGTAAATGTGGTGCAAAACTTATGGAAGAGGCCAATAATGGTCCAAAGTGAGGCCCAGACCACAGGAGGGAGCCCATGCCTGAGAGTCCCTGGAGTGCCAGGAGCCTAAGGCTGGACCTCCCAGAAAAACCTGGGAGAGAACCAAACATGGCTGACAAAACAAAGTCAATAAAATGATTCCTAATGATACCCTGCTATACTCATGGACTGGCTCCTAGCCCAGTCATTATCCGGCTTTATCCAGCAGCTGATGTGAGCAGATGCAGGGATCCGCAAGCAAACGATAGGCAGAGCCAGGGGAACCCTGTAAACGAGGGGAGGATAGACTGTAGGAGCCAGAGGAGTCAAGGACAGAAGAATATGGTCCACAGATCCAACTCTGCAGGGCTCTCGGGGACTCACAGAGACCAGAACATGGAGCCTGCATGGATCTGAGCTAAGTCCTCTGTATATACGTTATAGTTGTGTAGCTTGGTGTTCTTGTGGGACGCCCAGCAGTGAAAGTGGGGACTGTCTCGGACTCTTTTGCCTGCCTTTTCCTCATAAATCCTAAACGAGAGGGGATGTGCCTGGTCTTACTGTAACTTGCTATGCTAGATTTGTTTGATATCCTTGAGAGGCCTGCTCTTTTCTGAAGGGAAATGGAGGAGTGGATCTGGGGAAGAGAGGGAGGTGCGTGGGGGGAGGAAGCTGAAGAAGTGGACAGAGAAGAAACTACACTCGGGATGTTATGTATAAGAATAAATAAAAAGAGCCAGGTTGTGGTGGCGCACACCTTTAATCCCAGCACTCGGGAGGGAGAGGCAGGCAGATCTCTGTGAGTTCGAGGCCAGAAAATGTTATAATAAAATCTACTCTGTGTTGCTAGTAGGAATGCAAAAATGATGCTGCTGTTGCTATAAAAACCCAGCCACTGGCAGCTCCTCAGAAAGCTAAAGGAACTTAAACACTTGTAAATTTAAAAGGCAACAATATCACATCAACGTTCTTATGAACAACAGCTAGAAAGTCCAACCTCAGCATCCACTGAGTAAAAGTGAAACAAATAAACAGGCCAGACACAGTGGCGCACGGCTCTAATCCCAGCCCTTGGGGGGCAGAGGTAGGCATATCTCTGTGAGTTCAAGGCCAGCCTGGTCTGAGGAGAGAGTTCCAGGACAGCCAGGTCTACACAGAGAAACCCTGTTGGGAGAGGGGCGATGGTCTTGCTGTTTGCCCAGGCTGGCTTCAAACTGATGACAAGCCACCCTGTCTCAGCCTCGGGAGCTGGCACACACACACTGCGCCCAGTGCCACAGTGAGGGGGGTGAGGCTCCGACAGGTCCTACAGCACCAACGAATGCCAAGGGACGGATCATCCCATGTACAAGAAATACATGAAGATGCAGATTCACAGAGACAAAATCCATCAGAGCTTATCGGGAGCTGGAGGAAAGGGGGACAGTTACAGAGTTTCTCTCTGTAGTCTTGACAATGTTTAAAAAAACAACTATGATGGCTGCACCTCGCTGTGAATATAATTAATGCCACATAATTAAACATTTATAAGCGTTGGATGGTAAGTTTTATATATATTTTGTCATACTTCATGAAAATTGACAGGGCGAACAAGCTGGCTCAGTAGGCAAGGCGCTTGTCACCAAGCCTGACGACAAGAGTTTGACTCACAAACCCCTCAGGTGTGAGGGGAGTGGAAGGAAAGGAAGACTCCTGCACCTTGTCCTCTGACGTCCACACATGCACTGTGTGACACCTGTATACACACACACACAAAAGTAAGTGCAATAATGAAAAATTAAGTTATAATAAAATAAAATTTAACAATATATCAAAGCCCATTGTGTGGTGAAGAAATTATATTCCAACAAAAATTATAATAAAAAATTTAGGATGGACAGATTCAATACAATGCCAATCAAAATCCCAGGAAAATTCTTCAAAGACCTCAAATGGTACTCAACTTCATATGGAAAAGCAAAAAACCCAGGATAACCAAAACAATCCTGTACAAAAAAGAACTCCTGGAGGCATCACAATCTCTGACTTCAAACTCTACTACAGAGCTACAGTACTGAAAACAGCCTGGTATTGGGCATAAGAACAGACAGGAGGACCAATGGAACTGAATAGAAGACCCAGATATCAATCCACACATCTTCAAACATTTGATTTTTGACAAAGAAGCAAAAAATATCAAATGGAAAAAAGAAAGTATATTTAACAAGTGGTGCTGGCATAACTGGATATCAACATGTAGAAGAATGAAAATAGGCCCATATCTATTACCATGCACAAAACTCAAATCCAAATGGATCAAAGACCTCAACATAAAGCCAGCCACACTGAACCTCATAGAAGAGAAAGTGAGAAATACACTTGAATGCATTGGCACAGGGAACCATTTCCTAAATATAACTCCAGCAGCACAGACCCTGAGAGAAACAATTAATAAATGGGACCTCCTAAAACTGAGAAGCTTCTGTAAAGCAAAGGACACGGTCAACAAGACAAAACGACAGCCTATAGAATGGGAAAAGATCTTCACTAACCCCACATCAGACAGAGGTCTGTTCTCCAAAATATACAAAGAACTCGAGAAATTGGACACCAAAAGAACAAATAATCCAATAAAAAAAATGGAGTACAGACCTAAACAGAGAACTCTCAACAGAGGAATCTAAAATGGCTGAAAGACATTTAAGGAAATGTTTAACATCCTTAGTCATCAGAGAAATGCAAATCAAAATGACTCTGAGATTCCATCTTATACCTGTAAGAATGGCCAAGATTAAAAACACCGACGACAACTTATGCTGGAGAGGTTGTGGGGTAAAAGGAACACTTCTGCATTGCTGGTCAGAGTGCAAGCTGGTACAAACTCCTTTGGATGTCAGTGTGGTGATTTCTCAGAAAATTAGGAAACAACCTTCCTCAAGACCCAGCAATACCACTTTTGGGTATATATCCAAAGGATGCTCAGTCGTGCCACAAGGACATATGCTCAACTATGTTCATAGCAGCTTTGTTTGTCATAGCCAGAACATGGAAACAACCTAAATGCCCCTTTACCGAAGAATGGATAAAAAAAAAAAAAGTGGTACATTTACACTATGGAGTACTACACAGTGGAAAAAAATCTTGAATTTTGCAGGAAAATGGATGGAGCTAGAAAACATTATTTTGAGTGAGGTAACCCAAACACAGAAAGACAATTATCACATGTACTCACTCATAGGTGGCTTTTAAAAATAAAGCAAAGAAAGCCAGCCTACAAACCACAATCCCAGAGAACTTAAAACAACAATGCGGACACTAAGAGAGACTTACATAGAACTAATCTACATGGGAAGTAGAAAATAGAAAAAGATAAAATCTCCTGAGTAAATTGGGAGCATGGGGACCTTGGGGGAGGGTTGAACTGGGGAGGGAGAGGCAGGCAGAGGAGCAGAGAAAAATGTAGAGCTCAATAAATATCAATTAAAAAAACTTAAAAACAGATCAAATTGAACTCTAAAGGTTATATTAAGTAAACGGAAAGGGATAATAAAGACACCTCCACCCCCCAAAAAATTTAGGATGGGCAAATACGTTGTAAGTTCCATAACTAGGTTCTGTGTTGGCTTTGAAATGGTCTAAAGGCAGATTACAACCCATGTTAAAATACATCTAATCTGGGGTGCTGGCAATGGAGGAAGATGGGTGCTGCAGGAACAGACACCATTGTCTTTTGTTTCCCGAGTCTCTACAACCACTCTAGAAATAAGTCAGTTAAAAACATCCTAGGGCATTTCTAATTATGCTGCAGCCTTGAGCTCTGTTTGCTGTTTCAACAGAACGGAGCCTGGCACACAGAGCTAGGAAGTATTTTTAGGATTGTCCACTTCTTTTCCAGAGCCCTGGAGCTAAGTCTGCTGAAGTCCCCCTTAGTTAAGAAGAAGCAAACTCAGGGAGGGCTAATGCTTTTCTCCAAGCACCTCCCGCAGGAGCAGAGAGCTGGTGGTGAACACAATGCCAGGCTGGCCCGTGCTCCTTCCAGCTATCCACTCCATAGAACCGGGTATGCAGACTGGCTCACTCGCACCTTAAGGGGATGCTAGCACTCCAGCTGAACTCTCCCACCCAGCAGCAGGAACAGCGGACGGCAAAGCACTTTGGAAAATGAGCAGTCCTTTACAAATGGTACTGTGTACAAAGTGACCTTTATAGGCTTACATTTTTGACATCCTTAAAGATCTGAGTTTTTATCATTGTAACTTGTGATGTCAAAACCTTCAAGGCAGTCCTCAGAGTTGATTAACAGGTTTTACTATGTGGCCAAGAGCTTTACAGGAAAGAGGACATCACTGAAACACAGGCAAGGCCAGAGACTACACAGGGCAGCCGAATGAGCCTGGGCTTCAGCCCGAGCCTTTGCCATCTCATACAATGTTAAGCAGGAAGTATGGACAGTATTACTTTGATTTTTTGCTGGTCTCTCTTAATCTCTGCATCCAGGTGCTTCTTTTTCTCGCTCTCCTCACGAAGCCTTCTCTGCAGCTGCACTTTCTGGTATTTCAGGTGATCCACATTCTGCTCCAGCTCGCTGGCGCGCCTCTCATTCTGGATGGACAGTGAGGCTAGCTTCTTACTATCTTGCTGCTTCTTCTGTAAGACCTGGGATCACATGGAATAATCCAGAATAAGAAAGCATATTTCTCTCATTTCCTCAGTGGTAAGGGTGGCCACTGTCTTGGATTTACATTTATTTTGGACAGGCTCATCAACACATGCTTACTTTTCTACACTCCTTTTAAAAGCGTTTGAGTTAGAATCTCTTACTTCTGACTCTGTATCTGAAGAAAACCCTGTACTTTCATCAGATATCCGAAGAAAGCTGAAACCTGTGTTGACAATCAGAGGAAACCACCTCTTTTGCTTTATGATGAGTCTAATTTAAAATATAGGAGGCATGAAGTATTCTGTTTAGTATAGTCTGCAAACCCCTGCAGTGTATTCAGTAAACTGTATCTCTCTCTCCTCTCTCTCTCTCTCTCTCTCTCATACACACACACACACACACACACACACACACACAGGAGCTCACACCTATACTCTCAGCACTGTAAAGCCTGAAGCAGGATGACCACATATGTGGTAAAAATTAGAACACAAAACTGAGTTTATAAATAAAATTATGCTACCCCAGACTCTATATCTACCTGTCCTGTCCTGTGACACAAATTATTTGTGGCATGTTCATCAGATGTAGGGAGACATGCATGTCTTTTCTATGGCTCCTGGAGATCTAAAACTACACAATATTCCACTCCTATTTTTCTGATTCAACTGTAGCCTGAATCATTCAATCTCTGAAGAAGTTGATTAGCACGGTCATCTGCCCTGAAAGCCCACACGTCTATAGTTATCTGTTAGCAGCACTAAACATGCTCATGTCTTCCACTGTTTATAGCAGTATTAAATGCCAGCATGTTACAAGGTAATCCCAGTCAAACAAACGACACATATAAGACTTGTATCATGGCACTGGGAGAAGCTCCGGGGATAGGGAATGGTGGCTATCTTAGCTTCAGAAGGCAAAAACAAAAAGACGACCACAAGTTCAAATCCAGCCTGTTCTACACAGCAAGTTCCAGAATACCCAAGGCTACAAAGCAAGAGACTATATCACAAACAAACAAACAAAATTATAAATGCCATTAATAAATTATACACATCATAAGTAATTATTATCTTCATTATAGAAAAAGATTGTTAATATAAACAATTTGTTCTGATTTAAATATTCACGGAAACAGTACAACTTACAGCAGTGCTATTCCAAGTCAGTCTATGAACCAGCCTGGTCAGATTGCGGCTTGCACTGCAAAGCATGCTTTTAGGCTGAGGTAATATTATTTCCATGCAAGACATCTTGTTTACATCAGACAGAAAAGAGTTCAGGTTGGGCTTGAACTTGCAATCCTCAGATCTCTGAATGTTGGGAGTATAGCAGTGTGCCACCTTACCAGCTCCTTAAAGACTTTTTCTTATATATAGTTCTTGAAATTAAAATATATAATCACATCACTTCCTCCCTTCCCTTCCCTCCCTCACCTTCTCTGCATGCTCCCTGATCTCTCTCAAACTGATGGTCTCTACTTCTTTAATTGCTGTTTTGTGTGTGTGTGTGTGTGTGTGTGTGTGTGTGTGTATTCCTAAGTATATAAATGCAACTGCTCAGTCTGTATAATGTTACTTGTATGTATATGATGTTAGAGTTGGCCACCTAGTGTTGGACAGCCGATTGGGGGACCTTCCCTAGAAAAGACTATTTCTGCCATTCTTAGTCATGCAAGATTTCTTGATGGAGGAAGTTGTGCACTGACTGACTGTATTTCATTGCAAATCATGAACCAACACTGTGACACAGGCCCCACAAGCATACTGTAATCTTATGCTGGCTCTGTCACTTACTACGATAATAACAAAATGTAACAACACTACCATTTTGAGTGTTTTTCATATACTACTAATTAGTGTGCAGTATAACAAACTTATTTAAAAATCAAGTAAGGCTGTCACTGTATTCCACATTTATTCCACAGAGGCTCAGAAGTACACCTGTATCAGCATTACAGTATGAATGCAGAATATAGCTCTCTTTGAAAATAGAACATTTTCACAACCTTAAAAATTAAGTTTTAAGGGGGCTGGAGAGATGGCTCAGAGGTTAAGAGCATTGCCTGCTCTTCCAAACGTCTTGAGTTCAATTCCCAGCAACCACATGGTGGCTCACAACCATCTGTAATGGGGTCTGGTGCCCTCTTCTGGCCTGCAGGCATACACACAGACAGAATATTGTATACATAATAAATAAATAAATAAAATTAAGTTTTAAAATGGAAACAAACTGTTTTGTTGGAATAAAAACACTAATATTTCAATATTCTAAGATGCACACTACAGTACTGAAAACTAGTATTACATTCTGCAACTTGAGGTGAGTCACTTAACTTTCTTTCTTTGTGAGTAATGGAAAAACCTCTACCGCGAAGGGCGGTGATTAAAGATACTTATTTCTATCGGGCTTGCGCACGGCATGTTGAGGACAGCGAGCAGACGATTACTACAGCCTTGTCTTAACACCAGCCAGCACCGCACCCCTCAGCTGTGGCTGCACTCATCAGAGCACAGGACCTTCTAAAGGGCACATTCTGTTTCAGCCCTCCTTAAACAGATGTGCTTCTCTGAGGTCAGTTGCTCCCTTTTTCTTTCCTTTTCAGTACCGCAGAAAACAGGAAAAGCAAAAGAAGTCCCACCTACTCGGAGTTTTATTAGTTGTTTTTGTTTTTGTTTTTTTGAGTGGAACTGTCATTTTTATTTTCAACAAGATAAATGCCCACTGCCACCCTCTGGTATGTCAGGATTTACCACTGTTGAGATGCAGGGGTGAGCAGACCAAAGGAGCCCTTCCTTCTGAAGTCTCTAGTACTACCTTAAACATCTTAGTAATAGAGCTCTGAATAGGCCAATTATAAGTCAACTCTATCTACAAATGCGGACAATATAAATATGTTTCTACAATATGGAAACAGTAGATTAAAAAAAAAAACTAGGGGGGCTGGAGAGATGGCTCAGAGGTTAAGAGCATTGCCTGCTCTACCAAAGGTCCTGAGTTCAATTCCCAGCAACCACATGGTAGCTCACAACCATCTGTAATGGGGTCTAGTGCCCTCTTCTGGCCAGCAGGCATACACACAGACACAATATTGTATACATAATAAATAAATAAATAAATAAATAAATATTTAAATATTTAAAAAAAAACTAGATATGGTAACATACCCCTTTAATCCAAGCACTCAAGAGGCTGAGGCAGGACAATGGTGTGGAAGCCAGTCTTGGCTACATACTAAAATCCTGCCTCAAAAACACAAAGCAAACAAACTACATAAAAAAAGAACTGGAAGAGGCATTCTAGAATCTTCACAGGTCTTGGAAATGGCTCCCTTACATAAAAACCTTTCTGTACAGAATATTCTTCCTAAATAAGGTGTGTGTGTTCCCTCCCAACTGAACTTAGAGCCTCACACATGCTCACCAAGCAACACCCTCACCCCGGAAAAGCAGCTTTTTTTTTTTTTAACTCTTCCTAAAGTTGCAGCCAAATCCAAAGGTCTTGGGAATGAAGGCTGAGTTGCAGCACTCAAGGCTACTTTTAAAGCAATCGGTTCTGGTCCTAAAGAACATCTACAAAGTGTGACACTGGTACCTCCCCTTTACATGCAGCCCTCAACTGTTAAAATTCTGTTCTTCAGAAAAGAATACAATTTCTGCTACCTTGATGTCTTACTATATATGATTTTATGCCAATATTTAATGTTTACAGCATAAAGAAATAGACTATCCAGACTGCAAATACATAAAGTAATGGGCACACTAGGCAAAAGGAAATGTCATACAGCTCTGGGAACTTAAAACTAAAAACTGGATCCCATTTCTCTCAACACAGGACTCTCCTAAGACGAGACTTGTTTTCTTTTTGTGATGTCGGAGATCAAAATCAGGGTCTCCCATGTACTAAGTAAGGACTCTGTCCCTGAGCTTCATCCTCAGCTCAGTAGGAATCAAGAGTTAAGAAAGGAAGGCTTGGCTAGCCATGGTGGTGCATGCCTTCAATCCTAGCACTGAGAAAAACAGGCAAACAGATCTCTGAGTTTGAGGCCAGCCTGGTCCACAGAGTGAGTCCCAGGACAGCCAAGGCTAACATGAGACTGTTTCAAACCACAAAACCAAGCAAACCCAAGGAAGGATGGCCGTATGAGGTGAGCCACTCACCTGAACTCTCAGCTTGGCAGCGTCCATCTTCTTACGGAACTCTCTCTGCAGTTTTACCTTCAAAGCAGCATCAGAAAGGTCTTTGCTCTCCAGCTCCTGCAGCTGCTTTCGGGTTTCAGTGAGCTCCACTCTCGCTTGCTCAGCTTCGTGTTCCAGTTTTGTTACCTTCAAAGAATACTGTCTGCTCACAGACTTGGCGTTGTTACCTTCACCGAGACACAGGAAGAAGAGTGATTACAAACCACAGCTCCAGCCCTCTACTCTAAAACGACACGCAGTTACACACCCAAGCCCTCTTCAGGACTGTCCCCATCCGGTTCTAGCTGATCTCTTCACCAGTTTATCCTTTGTGTTTTAATGTTATAATGTTTAATGAGATCAATTTTTTATGTATGAACAAACGTGTGTATTTGTAGATGTAGATGTCCATGTGTGCAGTACCCACTGGGGCCAGAAGAGGCTGTCCAGTCGTCTGCAGCTGGAGTGGGGAATGGTTTATGAGCCGCCCCATGTGAGTGCTGGGAAGCAAACCCAGGGCTCTTCAGCCCCAGCAAGTTGTTTCTATCTTCCAAATTTGCAGCTGAGGTTTGCTAGTGTGGAGCTTTATCTAAGAGATGAGAAGACCAGAGACGTGGCTCAGCAGTTAGAGAGACCGGCTGCTCTTCCTGAAGACCTTAGTTTATTTCCCAGCACCCAAGCTCCAGTTTCAGGGAATCCAATGTCCTCTTCTGGCCTCTGTGGGTACCAGGCACACATGTGGTCCACACATGCACACACATTGGAAGAATAAAAGCTCCTAGAAGGGCTTTTCTTCTTAGTTAGGGTACTTTAGCTTTTTACTATCCATGATGTCTTCTTAAGTTAAAAACAATATGAAATACTTTCTGCTATTAAACAACAGTTAGGCCTTTTTTTTTTTCTTCGAGGCAGGGTTTCTCTGTGAAACAGCCATGGCTGTCCTGGAACTTGTCTTGTAGACCAGGCTGGACTCGAACTCACTGTGATCTGCGTACCTCTGCCTCTCAAGTGCTAATATTAAAGGCACACGCCACCACTGCCCAGCGAAATATTTTTCTTAAGAAACTTTATTATGCCAGGTGGGATGGCAAATGCCTTCAATCTCAGCATTTGGGAGGCAGAGGCAGGTGGATCCCTGTAAGTTTGAGGCAAGCCTGGTCTGCAGAGTAAGTTCCAGTACAGCCAGGAACCTGTCTCCAGAAAAATGGAAACTTTATTATGAAATATTTTAACATATTAAAAATAAAGGACTAATAGATGGTATCCCGTTGCTTAGATTTGAGAGATCAGTACTGATAGCAGCTATTTCAGTAAAGCCTATTTTCACTTCAGTTTGCCTCAATATGGATCCCAGATACTATTTTGTTGTTGTTGTTTTGAGACAAGGTCTCACTATGTAGCCCTGGGTGGCCTAGATCTTGCTATATAGTCCTGGTTGGTCTCAAACTCACAAAGACCAACCTGTCTTGAGTGCCAGGATTAAAGGTGTGCGCCACCACACCTGGATTCCAGATATTACATCATTCCATTTATATTCCCTGAAAACTACCTGTGTCAAGTGCAGACAAAACCACAAAGTCTATCCCAGCACAGCACGAGTGCCCGCTGCTTCAGACCCGCACTTCCAGCTTTACTACGTCTTTTTAATTGGTTTACTTTAATCAGGATCTACATAAGGTTCACAATACAGCTGACTGTTATATCTATTAGGAAACCTTTAATCTACGGCAAGCAAGATGGCTCAGTAGGTAAAGACGCTTGCTGCCAGGCCTGACAAACTGAGTTCAATCCTGGGAACCCACGACAGAAGAACAGACTCTGTATCGATGCTGTGGCATGTACGTACAGACACACAACAGGTAATTTAATTTTTAAAAGTATCCTTTAATACAGAGCTATTTTTCATTTCATTACAGTAATTAAATATTTTAAATTTTTATTTACATATAATTATGTATTTTGCATGTGTGTGTGTCCAGCGCTGCAAGTGGAGGGGCCTGAGGCTAACCTTCAGGAGTCGGCTCTTCTTTCTACAGTGTGGGTTCCGGGAATAAACTCAATCCCTGCAATTGATCACTTTCTGAGCCTGAACTGTGTTTTGGCTCTTTCCAGCTCCGTGAATTCCTCTGTTGTTCTCAGTAAATCCCAGGTGTTGTGCTGGGTATGGTGACGCACGCCTTTCCTGCCAGCTCCCAGAACTCAGAAGGCAGAGGCAGAGGCAGGGGGGTCTCTGTGAGTTTGAGGACACCCTTGTCTACAAAGCAAGCTCCAGGACAGCCAAGGCTTTAAATAGAGAAACCCTGCCTGGAAGGGGAAAAAATCCCAGCTGCTGCTTAAATTAGCAGAAACAATGCAACATACTCCACAGCTTGTATCTGTTGAATAAACTGGAGTTCTTAACCCAAATGAGCAGTGAAACAGCTTCTCTCTCACTCTAAAATCCTATGAGCACATAGCAATAATACATACAACTAGCAGGCCGGCAGAAACCACACATGACTACTGCAGACTTGAGCAAACCTTAGATAGCTGTCAATTCATTATTTAAAAAGTGTTTTATAAACCACTAATCAAAAAAGTCATAGGGCTAATTTTTTCATAAAAAGATGCTGAGCTGCTATGGATTTATGACACACTGACCAAGTACACACCTTTACCCCCCCCACACACACACATTGCTGTAGTGGTGTGAGATACACACCTCTACCCCCTGCACCGCTGTGGAGGTGTGACGTACACACCTCTACCCCCTGCACCGCTGTGGTGGTATGAGATACACACCTCTACCCCCTGCACCGCTGTGGAGGTGTGAGGCATCCACTGGGGAGGTTTGAATGGATGCAGCCATAGACTCATGTATTTGAATGTTTGGTTTGCAGTTGGTGAAACTGTTTGGGAAGGACTTATTGAAGGAGGTGTGTCACTGGGGGTAGGCTTTGAGGTTTCCTAAGCCTCATTATTCTCAGTTTGCAGAGAGCTTGTAAACTGGGATGAGAACTCTCAGCTGCTACTACTTCAGCACCATGTATGCCAACTGCTACTACGCTCCCCACCACAATAGTCATGAACTCACCGTCTGAAACTATAAGCCCCCACTAAACACTTTCTTCTGAGCTGCCTTAGTCATGGTGTCTCTTCACAGCAACAGACAATCACTAAAATAACTAGGACGGCAGAGACAGGCAGATCTCTATGGGTCTACATAACGAGACCTTGTTCAAAATGAAGAGATACACACTGATTTCATAAGACACTAAGGCATAAAAAGCATACTGGAATACATGAGATACAGTATCCATGTCCCTGTCTTTACTAATGACTGGCATGGGTGTTGCTTGGGAGAAGTCTTCACTGAGAATACTAAAGTTAGGGAAACCCCACACCATCTTTGTCTATGAGGGAAAAGATCACCTATATAAAAGCTTGGAAGCCTTCTCTGTTAAAGCACTCACAGACATACACAGCTACAAAAGCATATGTGCTCAGTGAGCTCCAGGGTGAGACCCCACTCCTAAAGCTCATTTATTCCAGGAGGTAATAACTGTCTCTACTTGCAGAAGCACTATCCTGAAACCCAAACCTAGATCAGCTCCCGACACTCCTAACGGGGTATCTGAGGGAACACAGCCAAACTTAATGAAATGTCTGTACTCGCCGGAGTGAGGGTGACATGGTGCATGAATGTCACTAAGAATGAGGGACGAAGCAGACTTTGGAAAGCAGAAGGAAGGACCCATAGCTAGACAACAGCTTGTAATGAAGAACATGGAAACGGGGAAGCCATGTTCTTGCTGGAACAGATTTGAGACTCAGCATAATTTATGTGGTTGATAAAAGTGTTGGCTTTGCCAGGAGGACGTCAATCGCCAGCACCCAGGTAATGAGAGTAGGTGCAGAGGCACATGCTTGTGCTAGCCTAGCCTACTTGGTGTATTTTAGCCAGAAAGAGACTCTCAAAAACTAGGCGGACAGTGCCAGAAGAACACCCACGGCTGTCCTCTGGGCACTGAAGAACACCCACGGCTGTCCTCTGGGCACTGAAGAACACCCACGGCTGTCCTCTGGCCACTGAAGAACACCCACGGCTGTCCTCTGGCCACTGAAGAACACCCACGGTGTCCTCTGGCCACTGCAGAACACCCACGGCTGTCCTCTGGCCACTGAAGAACACCCATGGTTGTCCTCTGGGCACTGAAGAACACCCACGGCTGTCCTCTGGCCACTGCAGAACACCCACGGTGTCCTCCGGCCACTGCAGAACACCCATGGTTGTCCTGGCCACTGCAGGCACACACAGCTCTTCACCCCACTCCCACACAAGGAAACATTTTCTTCAGTTCCGTTAAATGAGACCAGAGTCATTTTGCATAGGAATTAGAAATAAATGATGGTGTCTCTTTCACCTTCAATTCTTTACTGAAGTTCAAAGTTGTCAGGTTTGACCATTTAGACTACTGAGAAGAAAAAGACCAAAGAGCCCGAGTTGCCCTTAAGGCAAACCTAACCTGCCTTACGATGTGTGTCCACCCCAACCTAACGAAAGTCAGACACAGGACAAGAGATAAAAGCTTGGCTCATCAAAGAAAATAACTCTTAAGACCAAATCTTTACATTTTGAAAGAAATAAAATTACAAAATATCCAAAGTACAATATTTAATGTTAATTATAAACTATAAGGCTGGGGATATAGCCCACTGGTAGAGTACTTGTGTGGTGTGCTCAAAGTCCTAGTTTCAATCTCCAATACAGAAAAAAAATTAAAAGTGAACTATTTAAGTCAATGGTGACTAATAGTTAAAAATCATTATTGAAAAAAAAAATAACTGGGCAGTGATGGTACATGCCTTTATACCCAACACTCCGGAGGCAGAAGCAAGCAGATTTCTGTGAGCTCAAGGCCAATCTGGTCTACAGAGTGAGTTCCAGGACAGTCTCCAAACAACACAAAGAAACCCTGTCTTGAAAAACCAAAAAGAAAGGAAGGAAGAAAGGGAAGGAGGGAGGGAGGGAGGAAAGAAGGAAGGAAGGAAATTATTGTTAGGGCACAACTTACTGAACAGCACATGCAAACACCTAAGCTGATTTTGCTTTGGTTTTGTTATTACTGTTGTTGTAGTTCAGAGTGATGTCACTCTGTAGCCCAGACTGGCCTGGAATTCACTAGCTGGTCTACATTGTCCTTGAACTCACAGAAATCATCCTCCACATCCTCTAAAGTGCTAGGATTATAGAGGTGAGGTCCAGCTAGGTCCTGGGTTTAATCCTATGCTCTACAGGAAGAAAAGAAAGGTGAGATAAATATATTCCTTTTAGATCCACATACTAAATGTCATAATTCATCTACACAGAGCTACCACTATTGAGAGCAATTCCAAGGCAAGTCCTGGCCCCACAGACTTGTGCACATGCAGGCGAGACACACCCAAGTACAGAGGGCGGTTGTGAGCTTCATGCCACCACATCAAGGCAATCTCAAGTACTTTTCTTTCTCACACAAGCACAAGACACCATTACCTGTTTTTATTAACTCTTTGATCAGATCTTCTTTCATTCTGATGTTAATTGTAAGTTCTCTCATTTTTTGTTTCGCTTTATTAAGGATGAGTTCTGAAGTCCTTAATTTTTGCATATTTAACTCTTGACTGTCCTGTAGACATTCCATCTTCAAATCTTTAAAATCTAAGACACAAAAAAAATCCCTGTGTTTAAAATATTTTAACTGAAGTAGAATTTTAAAACAAAAACAGAACAAAAGCAATTTAGAGTGTCTTAGTTACTTTTCTATTAAACATCATGACCAAGACAAATTATATAAGATAGCATTTATTTGGCTTACAATTTCAGGGGTTAGAGTTCATGATGGCAGAGCAAAGACATGATGGCAGGAACAGCCGAGAGCTCACATTCTGACCCACAATGATAAAGCAGAGAGAGCACACTGAGAATGATGTGAGTCTTTTGAAACCTCAAAACCTGTCCCCAGTAACACATCTCCTCCATCAGGGTCATAACTCCTAATCCTTCCCAGAGAGTTCCACAAACTGGAGACAAAGTGGTCAAATAAGCTTGGGGGGCTATTTTCATATTCTCTATAATCTCAAAGACGTGGCAGAAGGGCAAACAAGAAGAGAATGAAGGCGGGGCGGTGGTGGCGCACGCCTTTAATCCCAGCACTCAGGAGGCAGAGGCAGGCGGATCTCTGTGAGTTCGAGATCAGCCTGGTCTACAAGAGCTAGTTCCAGGACAGGTTCCAAAACCNAAAAAAAAAAAAAAAAAAAAAAAAAAGAAGAGAATGAAGATGAAGACAGGAACAATGTACAGCAATTGAGATCTAAGCTTCTGTCTTACAGGAAGTTTTTAATTTAAAATATATACCCTTATACACACATACACACACACACACATATATATATATATATACATATATGCATATATTTTTTATCATGTTCCATAAGGTTGAAAGAATAGTTTTTATTCCCTTTAACTAAAGTCACTTGAGTCAGAGATGAGATCTCCAAGTGAAGAGTTTTCCTATGAACCTCTATTTTGAATGTAGTCTTTAGCTTACTCTGTTGTGGAATAATCTTTTTGTACACTGTGAAGATTTGTCACTTGGATTGGTTTAATAAAAAGCTGAACAGCTGATAACTTTTGGTCATTCAATGAGTTACAGATGTTCAACATCATCTAAGGGGGTTGGTATAAGTTGTTATTGGTCATAGTCAGGAAAAACAGACAAAGGAGTTAGATTCAAGATCTCTTTCTGAAGGAACAAAAGGGGATATAGTATAAAATGATGAGATTGAAGGGTAGACTGTTGAGTCTACTTTTCAACAGCCACTAGTCTCAATTATTTTACACTAGTATGGACTTTTGTATATTGATACAAATTTAAGGTTAATTTGTTATACTGCATATATGTTTCTACTCTTGTTTAAGGTATTTTACCTATGCAGGTAATTTTAAAAGGTTATGTAAAGTTTTAGTCTTTAAAAGCTACTTAGGGTAATAAATACAGGTTAATAGTCTTCTATAACTATCAAACTTATAGCCATGTTAGGTATGTCTTCAAGGTCATACAGATATATATTTTAGATAGGTGACCTTCAAATACTTCAAAGAGCTACAGAATATGACAATGAGACCTGTCTGTTCCTGGTGGCATCAATCTACTTCAAAAAAGGGTGATGGGCATCGAAGAACCTCCATATGGAGTTTGCTTTTTTATGGTAAAAGCTAGACATTTAGGCAAAAAAAAAGTGCTCTTGCCTCAACTGCTGACAGTATACTCTCCAAACTGGACCAGTAGAACACAAAGAAAAGTGACTGTCAAACTTTGCCAAGACAAAGTAGGACACTCCTTTAAAAATTTCTGCTCCAGCCGGGCGATGGTGGCGCACGCCTTTAATCCCAGCACTAGGGAGGCAGAGGCAGGAGGATCTCTGTGAGTTCGAGACCAGCCTGGTCTACAGAGCTAGTTCCAGGACAGGCTCCAAAGCCACAGAGAACCAAAAAAAAAAAAAAAAAAATTTCTGCTCCACAGAGAAGTTTGTCAGATATTCTAGGTCTGTAGGCCAAAGATGCTTACTACAACATTACAGAGGAACCTTGGGTGTCTATCCAGGCAGCCATCTGTTTCTGCCATTTGTTTAAGTTTTGGAAGTCGCTTGCTGCTGTACTTCCTGTTTACTCAAGTAATATTTTATCCTTGGGTTTGTTTGTTTGTTTATTTTGAGACAGAGTTTCTCTATGTATCTCAGGTTGTCCTAGAATTCACTCTGTAGACCAGGCTAGCCTCAACTGCGTAGAGATTCACCCGCCTCTGCCTCCTTGAATGCTGGAATTAAAGATGTGTGCCACCACCACCTGGCCTCTTTCTTTTTTTTTTTTTTTTTGTATTCTTTTTTTGTTTTTGTTTTTGTTTTTCGAGACAGGGTTTCTCTGTGGCTTTGGAGCCTGTCCTGGAACTAGCTCTGTAGACCAGGCTGGTCTCGAACTCACAGAGATCCACCTGCCTCTGCCTCCCAGTGCTGGGATTAAAGGCGTGCGCCACCACCGCCCAGCTTGTATTCTTTTTTAAAAATTTTTTAATTTATTTTTTTGTTGAAAAAATTTCCATTTCTTGGGTTTCTGTAAAGAGTTGAAAACTTGGTACTTATAGTTGCAGTTTTCCTTAGTTATGATAAAATGTTAATTATGTACAGAGCTGCTTTAGACTCATCAAGATACAATAAATAATGGAGTATTTTCTCCAAATATTCCAAATACAATGGACCTTATAAATGTAATTCTTACCTTATAATTGTTCTTATTGTTTACAGTTTTATTATGTTAGAGGTAAAACCTTTCTTTTTTTATCTAGACAATAGGGGAAAATGGTGCTGAATTTTTATATACTGTGAAGATTTGTCACTCAGATTGGTTTAATAAAAAGCTGACTGCTCAAGAGCTAGGCAGGACTTTCAGGGCACAGAGGACCCTGGAAGAAGAAGGGAAGAGACGCAGAGAGTCTCCAGCCAGAGACGGAGGAAGCAGGAAAGCAGCATGAGCAGGACAGGGTAAAGGTGAGAAAGCCACGAGGCAGAAAGTAAATGAATAGAAATGGGTTCATTTAAGTTATAAGAGCTAGTTACAAACAAGCCTAAACTCCTGGCTCAGCTTTCATAATCAATAATAAGCCTCCATGTCATGACTTGGGAGCTGGCAGAAGGGACAGAAAATTACACCTACACTGCTCTTCAAGAGTGTACTCCAGTACAATAAGTCAGTGTCCTGAGCAGAACACAAAGCTGTTTTTGTTCAGGTCACTTCATATTCATAAACAGCCTTTCAAGAAAGGAACTAGGCATACACTCATGTACATTCTACCCAAGTTTCTTTTGTGGCTGCAGACTGAAAGTAATAAATGACTCAAGGATGGGTACTTGACTAGCCTATATCTTATCTTTATTATTTCTTAGTTTTATTCATATCTAATCTTGGTAGGAATTATAAGCATAGGCTCTTTAAAAGATGTCATTTCATAATTTGACATTTTTCATGTTAAATTCTCTATAATCTTACTTTTGTGTATTAACCCACTTAATAGTTCATAAAGAGGTAAGTTAAAATATCTTAGCTTAGCTGGAGAATGGCTCAGAAGTCAAGAGCACATGCTGCTCCTGCAGAGGACCTGGGTTCGGTTCCCGGCATCCGCACTGGGTAGCTCACACTGTAACTTCAGCTGCAGAGGATCCGACACTCTGACCTCTACAGGCATTTGTGCTTATGTGTGCATGCCCGCACACAGACACACGTGGCTTTAAATCCTAGAACTTTTGCTACATAATTTCTCATTTTTAAAAATTTAATTAAAATATAATTACATATTCCCCCCTTCCCCTTCCTTCCTTTAACCCCTTCAATGCCTGTGTCACTGCCTCTCAAATTCAGTTTCTTTTTCTTTGATTATTACTGTTTTTATATATACACACACAGGGCATAATTGATTTTAAAATGTATAAAATTCCATCACTTTTTTCTAAAGCATTGCTGCAGCACTAATTAGGCTTCACGGTGGATCACTAGCAGGATGCCAAGTGGACAGACTCCTAGCAGACTGCCTACAGTGACTTCAGAGTAGTCAGCAGTACAACACAGATCAGAGCAAGTCCAGACTTAAACTTCTGTTCTGAAGAGTTTATGTGTCTCCAGCCAGAACTGGTGGGTAGAAACCTTTTTTGTTTTTGAGACAGGGCTCATTAAGTAATCCAGGGTTACTTCAAACTCTGAATCTTCCTGCCTCAGGGGACTAAGTGCTGAGACTTCAGGTGCACCAGTACACCCATGTTTTAAAAAAAATTAAGGAAAGCCAGGTGTGGTGGCACACACCTTTAATCCCAGTACTCGGAAGCAGAGGCCTCTAAATTCGAGGCCAGCCTGGTCTACAGACTGAGTGCCAGGACAGCCAGAGTTACACAGAGAAAGCCTGTCTCGAAAAACCAAACCTAAGAAATTATTAAGGAATAAATATCTTGAAAAGACAAAGGACGACTGAGAATATGGAATTAACAGGAAGTTCTGCTGCTCGCCGGCCCTGAGAGTACATGGAAATTCTAAAAGGACCGTGTTAAAATCCGCCACCACACCTGTGCAATCTGGGAAGGACACTTACCTCCATTTCCCAGATAGGACTTCTGTGTTTCATCCCGATTCTCACTTAACTCAACAAGAGAGCAAGCAGAGCCTGGCTTTTTGACCCATGAATGACTTCTAGATCTAAAAAAGAACATTTTTAAAAGATTAGAATTAAAGGCAACTTCCTTGATAGCATAACCTAGGGTTTCAACTTAGTTCCTCCAAAAGGTAACAGAATGTTTTAGAAAGGTAATTGTATGAAACAAGCAGATTTTACCAATATTCTTTCAAATAAAGAGATCACCTCCATCTTGGATGCAATGTTTGCAGCCATTGTAGCAGAATACAGAAAGTTAAAAAAAAAAATTCGGGCTGGAGAGATGGCTCAGTGGTTAAGAGCATTGCTTGCTCTTCCAAAGGTCCTGGGTTCAATTCCCAGCTACCACATGGTGGCTCACAACCATCTGTAATGAGGTCTGGTGCCCTCTTTTGGCCTTCAGGCATACACACAGACAGAATATTGTATACATAATAGATAAATATTTTAAAAAATCGCTTCATTTTAAAAAAAAAGTCTCTGGATGCCTAAGTCTAGTGGTTCAAAGGTTGAGAGCCCTTGTTGCTTTTGTGGAGGACCCAGCTTGAATCCCAGCACCCACACGGCTGCTAGCACCCATCTGTAATTCCAGTCCAAGGGAATCTGAAGCCCTCTTCTGGCCTTCTCGGGCACCAGGCAGGTGGTACACAGACATACATGGAGGCAAAACACTAACACACATAACACAATAAAGTAAATACGTTTTTAAAAATAAAACCTGGCCTGTTAAAACACTATTTCTTAGACCGTTGATTTAGCAGAGACTCCCCACTGTTTTATAAATGGAGGAGACAGCACAGTGAGTCAAACACCAACAGCTGCAGCAATGGCTGCTGATGGGGTCTCTACATAGCATACCTCACTCTAGGCTTCTCGGGGCCCTCTGACTCCTCTCCATCACTGTTGTCAGAAAACTGGCAGTGGATGACTTCGTCTTGGTCTTCTAAGTGGCCCACGAGCATCTGGCTTCGTGTCCGGAACCCGGCAAACACTTGATCCAGAGAGCATATAGGAGGATTGGAATAGACCTGGCAAGTGACCCCACCCAACAACAAGAGACGTGATTGTTTAAGCCAACTCTTATCCTAGGACTCACAGTGTTTTAAGGGGATCTAGGTAAGAACTGGTGAGGGGCCAGTCACTGAAAATACACTCCGTGCAAACATCCAAACAAATTCCACAGTACTGTTATGCGTCACAGACTCTGCTTTCTTTCAGACCCTAGACAGCTCTTTCTCTCCTGTTTTCAGTGATGGTTTTATGAAGAATAGTATTCAAAAACAAAGCTGGAGCAGCATGATGGTACCCCACTGTCTGGCACAGTTCATGCTCCCCAGCAAAAGTGTTCATAACTCAAGTGTCCCAGAGTTCAGAGCTCCTGTGGACGTGTGGGGACTGCTCAGGGAAACACAGCTCCTTGCACCCCAATTCCAGCCCAGGGCAAACCTCATATCCATGAACTCCCCCTGCTGTGATAGCATTCCAACCCTGGAAACCAGAGCATGTTTGTGATCCTTGATATATGCAGAGGAGAGAAACCACTGCAGTGCTGCTCCAAATGACACAGTTAATGGACATCACACAACAAACAAACCCTATGGGCCAGCTAGGAACATTCAACATTATAATATATTTCTACTGTAAACATATTTTAAGTGCTCAAAAATGATCCTGAAAACAATGGTGGAGTAGAAACTGCTTTTATACTTTGTTCTAGATTCTGTTTCCAAATGCTTCCTTGTACATTACCTCTCAATAACTAAACAGCAGGGTGACTTCTCAAAAAGAAAGTAAACAATGAAGTCCTAAGGAGACATTCAGTGTGTTAGTGTGAATCACTGCACAGCTATTATAACTGTAATGCACACAGGACGTGTGTACACCAGGTAGCGAGGCGCTCCTGGCAGATGAAGATGCTGGGAAAGAGAGGGTCACTTTCCTGAGGAATGTGGCCACCGATAGGCTCCACATACCCAGTGGATGACTCCATGTCCATGCACATATGGGCGGCACTAACTGGACTCAGCGGATTAAATAAGCAAATAATTATAAAAGGAGGACATGCAGTTGGGAAGGAGATGTGCTGGGGGTCCTGTGGGGACTTGGGAAGGAGACGTGACAGGGGTCTTGTGGGGAGCTGAAGAGGGAGAGAAGGGTGGATATTATTATATTCATGTATGATAATTTCAAATAATAAATGAAAATTTAAAAATTCAATTAGCTAACAGTAGAGCCCTCATGTGCCTCCTTCCCAAAGTGTGTACTTGACGCCAGGCCTCTTGCATCTGACTTTTGTGTTCCTGTGGTTGGTCCCCTGGGGGGCTGTCAACAATGAGGTGGGCAGAGAGTAAAGTTTTCTAAGTGGCCTCTCACTTTCGAGGACTGAGGCACAAGAGAGAAGGCACCTGGCCCTTCCCTACAGTTCTGTTTCAGACCACAGAGGCAATAATGCTTTCCTATCTATCGCACGCTACCAAGGCCACGATATTCTGCTTACAACGGGCCTGGAAACAGGAAGCCAAGCAATCAACGACGATTTAGCCCTGGAATCTGAAACCTAAAGAAAGCTTTCCTCTCTCCAGCTGCTTTTCTTAGCTATGTGGCCACAGCGGTGCAGAAACCTGACATCCTTTTATAACAGTCAATGGAAATTAGCCACAAACCCAACCATAAAGAAAATCTCAGCAGCTTCCCAAAGCAAAATGGAAATTAGTAATTGCAATGCCTTCAAATACAAAACCCGAGCCTGAACCTGCAAAGCTACAGGGAAGGATCTTCTTTGTCTTACTGACCCTGAAGCACCCAAGCCTGGGACTAACAGAGACCCTGTGGACATAGAGTGAGGATACAGTGGGGCAGTGCTGTGCTGGGCCCTGTCACCCAAGCCTGGGACAGAGCAGATCCATGGGTGTACGGTGAGGACACAGTGCAGCAGTGCCATCGGGGCCACACTCTAATAAGCTCTGTACCCTCCACTGAGGTCCCCATACTTACTCTAAGGAGCATGAGATCCCAAGGGCTTAGTTACACCTACACCTGCCTGACAAAGTCCATCCCCTATGTACATCCTACAGCTTCACCCATTTCTCATCCTACTGACTGACTTACTACACAGATCTCAAACAAATTATTCCCACCCATAAAATTAGTAGTAAAAACAAAAACTCAATCAAATAATTACGTCTTCTTCACAGTAAATTCTTGGATGCTTTATTCACGATAAAGCCACACTGGGGCTGGAGAGACTGCTCAGTGGTTAAGGGCACTGGGCTGCTCTTGCGGAGGACCCGGATTTGGCTCCCAGCACCCACACAGCAGCTCACAACCAGCTCAACAACTCTGATCCCAGGGGATCTGATGCCCTCTTGCAGCCCACGCAGCACCAGGCAAGCATAGCAGGCAGAACCCATACACATAAAATAAAAAATTTAAAAAGACAATTCAATGTAGACATATATTTGCTACCCACATCTTTACAAACAAACATTAAAACTAAGTTTCACGTGACATTTATGCCATCCAGACTGTCAACTTGGTAACGTTGAATGACACAAAAGTTAAAAACAAAGACAAATTAGATAAAACAAGCAAGCAAACAAATGAACAAGCAAAACCACCGAAAGTACCCTCATTTCACCCTGAGAGGTTACAGGGCAGTATCGTGACACTATCAAACTTAGCAATGTCTGAAAACACGTCTGTAAATGCGTAGCAGGTACGGCTGCCGCCATCACTCGCACCCTAACTTACACAGGTGTGCTCTTGTTTACTGATCTTTAGTCTTAGCAGTGCTTAAGAGGAAAAGTACATAGAGAAGCGTCCATGAAACCAAAAGGCAGAGAAATCCTCCTGAAACTTTACAAACACTCAGATAGTCTAAATAACCTGAAGATCTCAGCAGAACTGACGCTGACACGTGACTCACCTGCTTGGAGTCCTGCCGTGAAGGGCTGTAAACACGGTGTCCCCAGTAATTACCAAAGGGGACGGTGTGAGGTCTCTTGTCAGAGATCCTGGCATCAGGTCCATCGCCACAATTTTCCTTAACTGAAGACGTCATTGACAAGTTAAACTTTGCTAGTTCTTCACCCAGCTGATCCAGAAGAAGTTGCTGTTCTATTATCTTTTCTTTCTTTGGAGAAGAGATCATTGAGAAGCAGAGAACTTCAGTATATGTGTAATCATGAATAAGAGCTAAGTTACACTGGCCCAAGCCACAACTGCCTAACTGGCACCTCACCACATCCCTCTGGGGCCCATCAGTAACTAGTACTGTCCTAAGAGCCAAGGATCTTTTCTTCTTCAGTGCTGGCTCAAACCCAGGGCCTTGTACACACCAGGCAAGGACCCTAACATTGAGCTGTATCCCCACCCACAGAAATTACTGAATACTACGCAGAAATAGGCGAAAACAAAAATACTACAGAATAATAATGTTCCATTAACTATGAATGGATAATTTGACCCTGTGATTCTAAGCGTTCTACTTAATTGGGTATTTTTTATAAAAGTCTGAACTTTCTGGCTGAAATACAAGATGTACCAGACAAAGCCAAGAAGCAAAAGGTTTTTTTTGTTGTTGTTGTTGTTGTTGTTTAAGCACAGGACATTACAGCAAAGGAGACAGAAAATGGTGGATTGAGCAAAGTGAAACTTTATCTGAAAAAGGAAGTCCAACACCTAGAGACAGGAGACAGTGACCCGACAGTCCTGGGCGAGAGAGGATTTGGAACTCCAAGGCAGAATGGACAGGATGTGTGTCTGGTCTGAGGACAGTCTGGGTTTGGAGCATGGTCAGTGCAGAAAGTTCTAACTTCAATACTTGTCTCCCAAGCACAGAAAGTGCACCGTGGTGCCACCTGCCTTTAGACCCAGAGCTCGGCAGGTAGAGGCAGCTGACTATCTGTGAATCTGAGGACAGCCTGATCTACAGAGACATTTCAGGTCAGCCATGGCTGCATGAGACCCTATCCTAAAAGCAAAAACAACAACAAAAAACGTAAACAACAACTTATCAGACAAGGCTGGAGAGGCGGCTCAGTGACAGAACTTTCCCAGAACCTACAAAGCCTGGATTCACTCCTAGTGCCATAGCTCACACCTATAACCCCAACACATGGGAGGTGGAAGCACAAGTTCAGAGTCATCCTGGACTATGTAATGAGTGTGAGACCCAGTCTCCAACAACCGAAGCAACGGCCTGCTAGGTGTGGTGGAGCCTGTGGTCTGAAAAAAAGGAAGCACCAGGATCACAAGTTCAAAGCCAGCCTCACACTGTGTGATCTGGTCTCAAAAAGCAAAACAGACACACACACACAAAAAAATGTCATTCATCTTAACTTCACATATACTATGAAGTTTAAATAGGGAGAAAATGACTAAGATTTTATTATGTTGATATAGAATAATAAGATACAATCGTATTTTAAAATTACCTTGTAGGATCATTGAACTTCTCAATATTAAGGCTGGGAGTGGTGGCTCATACTTTTGATTCCAACACTTAAGAAGCAAAGGCAGGAAGATCCCTGTGAGTTAGAGGCCAGCCTGTCTACACAGCAAGTTTCAGGTTAGCCATAGCTACAGAGTGAGATTCTGTCTCAAAAACAATGGAAGGACCAGAGACGGCTGGATTTGGTGGTATAGGAGGTGAGACAGGAGGACAGGTTCTAAGTGCTCAAGATCAACATTCGGTGATAGAAAAAAGTCACAGCTCAAAATGAAAAGTAAGGGGCTAGAGAGATGGCTTAGCGGTTGAGAGCAGTGGCTGTTCTTCAGAGGACCCATGTTCCATCCCCAGTGCCCAAATGGCAGATAACAACTGTCTATATAACTGTATTCTCCTGGGGTCTGATGACCTCTTCTGGTATGCAGACATACATGCAGACAAGAGACCTCTGCACAGAAAATACATAATTTAATGAAATAAAAAGTAAAAAGAAGATTGATGAATATAGCTCAGTAGTAGAATGTTTATCTAGCACCTATGAGGGTTTAGGTTCAGCCAGTTCCCAGTAACACAAACACACACAAGCAAATACACACAGAAGAGGGGAGGGAGAGAGGCATAGAGGAAGCTGGGGATTTGTACATAAATGTACAGAGTGCTGGCCTAGCATTCATGAGGCCCTGGATCACATTGCTGGGTATATATGAATATATGAAAATCAACACAGTGCCACAGACCAATAAATAATCGGGAAGATAAAATTTTTGTAAGCTACATTTTTAAAAAGTACTTAATAAATCTAGCAAGGTGTGGTGGGTCACATCTGTAACGCCAGTACTCAGATGGCAGAGGCAGGTAGACCTCTGAGTTCCAAAGTAGCCTGGTCTACACAGTACATTGTAGAGCAGCCAGGGCTACATAGTAAAGTAGGTCCTGTCTCAAGAACAAAAGCCATCTAAACAAAACAAGAATAAAACTAACAAAATATGTCTAATACTTATACAAAGTCAATTATTGGGAAAAGATTAAGCAAAATATAAATAAATGGAAGAAAAACAGATGAAAAGCTGTTATTCTTGGCAGGCAGAGCAGCCCATGACTTTAATTCACAGAGGCAGGCAGATAACCCCCACATACTTAAATAAAAATGAGTCTTTTATGAAATGAAAATTGTAATTTCCTTGATGACTATTGTCTTAATTAGTGTTTCTACTGCTGTGAAAAGACCATGACCACCGCAATTCTTATAAAGGGAACATCCAATTGGGCAGCTTACAGTTCAGATCCATTATCGTCAGGGCAGGACGCGGCAGACTTCAGGCAGACTTGGTGTTGGAGAGGTAGCAGAGAGTTCTACATCTTCTGCAGGCAACAAGAAGTGGTCCCAGATCCTGGGTGTGGCTTGAGCATATATGAGATCTCAAAGCCCACCCCCCATAGTGACACACTTCCTCCAACAAGACCATGCCAACCCTAGCAAAGCCACACCTCCTAACAGTGCCACGCCCTTTGGGGCATTTTCTTTCAAACTACCACAAACACAGACAAAAACACACAAGAAAATGTTCACAAACAACTCAAGAGCACAGAAAAGGAACGTCCACATGATCACACTGGCTTCATTCTAGCAGTGCAGAGATAGTTCAACACAGGTTAGAGCAATAAAACTAAAAAAAAAAAAAAAACTATAAAAAATGCGTACTATAAACAGCCTCAAGGTCAGAAACCACATGATCATCCCAATAGATCCTTTCATGATAAAAAACTCTAGACAGACTAGGGGTGAGGGGATCATATCTCTGTATAATAAAGGCAGTATGTGACAAACTCACAGCAAACACCATGGTAAATGGAGACAAATTCAAGCACTCCAACTAAAAACTAGAACAAGATGAGCAGGTATACTTTTCCCACTGTTATTCAACATGCTATGTAGCATGAATAATAAAAATCCGGAGATAGATATTGGGGCTCAACCTGAAGATCAGAAAAGCAAAGCAGCCAGCCGAGGCTCTTAACCTCTACCTCAGTCCGAAATGACAATGCTGCCTCCAGGAATCCTCAGATGGAAACTGAGTTGAGGTCTCTTCCCATTTTATATTCCTCTCCAGTGCTAGGATTAAAGGTGTGCAACCACCAGTGCCTGCCCTCTAAGGCCAACTAGTGTGGCTACTGGGATTAAAGGCACGCACCACCACTGCCTAGCCTGTATGGCTGACCAGTGGAGCTGTTTTACTCTCTGATCTTCAGGCAAGCTTTATTTATTAAAATACAAGTGAAATGCCACTACAGTGTTATTTAAAGTCTTAGTTAGAATACTGAGACAAGAAACACAAACGTAAGGAGCCGAGACTCAGGAGGCAGATCTCTGTGAGTGTGAGGCTAGTGTGTCCTACAAATCCAGGTCCAAGCTTGCCAGGGCTACAAAATGAGACCCTGTCTCAAAAGACAACAATAATGGAAAACAAAGAAGTCTAAGTGTCCTCGCAGGCAGGTGATCTCCATGAGTCTAAGGACTCTAGCAGAAAATCTCAGCGCTGACACTCGGCAAAGTGACACAATCAGCAGGAAAAACCACTAGCTCTCCAGTCCACCTATGACAGGTACACTAAGAAACACTCCTGCTCACAACAGCCTGAAACCATAGTAAAATACTGTTGTGGGAATTCACTCAGCCAATAGCCTTTTGGGTATCAGCCCATTAGGGCGTGGTCTGAGGTACTATAAGCGCAGAAAAAGCATGCTCACTCTCCCTTGAGTGGTGGTCAGAGTTCTGTTTACAACTTCCAGGGCCCACAGAGGACTGAGGCTCTCTACTCTTATTGTGCGTTTTTTCCCCAAATAAATAAAACCTTGTTCTCTTTTCTTCAGGGCTCTTGTGGATCTCGCTATTTCCACAAAATACCTCAGAATGAGCCTAGACCAGAGGTGAATGACATCTATAGGGAAAACTTTAAAATCCAAAGAAATAACTGAGGAAGACATTAAAAGATGGCAAAACTTCTCAGGGCAAGGGTTGGAATAGTTAACATTGGGAAAATGTCCATCTTACTTCTTCACAGAACCAGAAAACAGTCCTAAAATTCTTATGGAATCACAAAAGACCTAGAGAGCCAAAGATTCTGAGCAAAAAGAACACATACATGATTAAGTGTCACGCCTGGTTTCAGTTATAAAACAGAGCATAGTTGTTGCGGGAGGTCCTTCCGCCCCTCCAACCAATAGCTGCTGTGATACCAGCCCATTGGGGCGTGGTCTCTCTCCCTTTAAAAAAGCTGCTATTTCCTCTGCTCGCTCTCTTCACTTCCTGCTCCGCCGGAGACTAGACTCCCTTCCTGGTTGTGCAGATGGCTGTTGTCTGGGACGGTGATCTGTAAGTTTCACCTTTAAATAAATAACACCCTATTAATCATAACTCCAAACTGGTGTGGCCTTGTTTGTGACTTACGCCTTCATCTGGCGCCCGAACGTTTGGCTTTTAGGACCTCTCCTTTCCCTGCTCGAGTTCGGCTTGGCACGAGCCCTCCCTTCCTTAGCCGCGGCCTGTGCCTTGCGGCGGGCGG